AGAGAGTGGGGACTTTTAACCCTTTTAACCCTCTAATCCAGATTCAAATCCAGGTACCAGAAGTAAAAGGCCAGTGTATTAATGTGCCACCCACTATTATATTACTGTCAGTGTTTGTCCACAAAATATACAGTCAATTACAATATAGTCTGTGAAGCGCTTTGAGATGTCCTCTCGACTTGAAAGGCGCTCTATAAATGGAATCTTGTTGTTGTTGTTGTCTCAACGACGTGATCAGGCGCTATATCAAATGCAAAGATCATTGTTTTATTTTATTATTTATCACGTCACCGAGATATCTCCAGGATTTTCTGTAGCTTGAAATGACCCTGTATTTGTAGGTGAACTGATTCATTGTCTGTATATTTGCTGAAGATTCAGTCGTGAAACAAAAGTACTAAACAGAGAAATGACTGAGTTGTTGAGATACAATGGTTCATTGTTAGTTATTCCATTGGAAGCTGTTTTATTCCAGCCAATTAGCCTATTAGAAAGAGAGGTTAATGGCTTGAGGTCCATCACATGCAAAAATCCTTGGGCTGCCCTTGGTTACACAAACCTCGGTTCCAAAGAGATGGAAGATTATTAATGAATGACACAGTCAGGTCGTAGGTTGGGGATTTCCTCCAGGTTTTGCTGTACTTAAATCTGTATTAAAACAGTCTTTATTTCCAAACTTCATTAATCTTAAAATGCAGCCCTCCCTATTGGCAGCTCTGCACTGTCTCACCGTGGTTTTATTTACAAAACCCATCGACCTGGAGACCAGTCCCGCCACCCAAGCTGGCAACACATGCACCTTCTACTTGGTTATTAGCAATATTGTTAACTTCAGCTGACAAATAAATAATTCACTCAAAGACAAGGGACTGAATAGAAAGCTCTTTCAAGGAAATGGCACAGGCACAATGGCCTTCTGTCCTACCAACTTCTATGACACTGTGATTCCAAGGATGCCTACATAATGTGAAGCTCAGCAGATTGCTTTGTCTCTTTCAATCGAGCTGAAATTCCACCTAGACTTAACCTGCAAGACTATCTGATCTTAAAATGTAATTATACATAGCACCTTTCACAACGGGAGGACAAAATTCTTGACAATTCAGTCTGGGCACTGGAGCCGAGGGTGGGAGCTGAAAGGGTTGAGGAGGAGAAAAGTGACTGAAGGTGCATTGTGAGACATACCTTGAAAGAGTGGAGGGAGGAAGTGAGTCGGAGGGACTTGGGAATGGAATTCCAGATAGTGAGTGCCAAGTATCCGATGGTGGGGTGGATAGAACAGGGGATGTGGAGTGGGCCAGTAAGGCTCAGTGAAAAGAACGAGCAGATTGTTATGAGTGAAGGAGGCACAATGTACAATTGCGCAAAATTCTTAAGTCACGTAAAGCACAGCTTAGTCCTCTCTATTTGGCCTGAGTTTGCCTCGACAAATGCATCTCCTATAGCCCCAGTTTGACATCTCCATTTCTCACACCGTCAGCCCTGAGTTTTCATTGAGTGCCAATTCTTACTCTGCGGACAGGTTTGTGCTATGGATATGTGCTCGATAGTAACTAGTTAAATGACTATATTTTCAGCCAATATATCAATCTTGCCCAGCGGGCATTTTCCCAATGATCCAATCCTTCTGATTGTTCCATTTTATCTGCATGCTTGGGTACCCAAACATTAAATTAAAAACAGATCATGGGATCTAATTGTAGTAATTCCTAACATGATTCCTTAATAAGAAATTCCTGCAGACCTGTGTGATCTCTACAGCTCCAGTTCAATGCTGAAATATTTAATTTAGAATTCTTCAGACGTTTTATGTCTTCTTTTTATGTTAAATTCTTAATTCCTACTTCCCCGCCCCCCCCCCCCACCACCACCACTTAGCCTTTGCATGAAGGTCTCCAAACTTAAGATTAAACAGAATGATATGATGGAAAATTTTCAACTTGAGTTGCATCTGGAAGCCGGTTTGGATTTAAGATTTTTTTTAGAGTGAGCCTGGGCGTTTGACACATACGGAAGCCCATCACCGAGTATCCAGACCAGATCAAAGATTTCACTGATAATAATCCCTCATAGAAAAAAAATTGGTCACTTCAAACCACAACTGTTTGTGGGACACTGCTGTGCGCAATTGCTTCTGCGTTTCTCCCATAAATATACAGTCAATTCACTTACAGTCTATTCCGTGAAGTGCTTTGAGACGTCTAGAAGACGTGAAAAAGCGCTATATCAAATGCAAGGATTATTATTATTATCATTATTATTATTATTATATATGCCGCCTAGAAATGGATATTTCCCTGTGTCTGGAATAGGATTGTTTTTAAGAGCTGTGGAAAACTGATTTCCACATTTAATGCTGAAACCTCCACAATTCTGCATAATTTAAAATTTTGATGAGGAAATTCAGGCTTCCAAACAGAAAAATACTTTCCAAATAATAATAATCCTTGCATTTGATATTGCAGCATCTTATCATGTCGTTGAGATGTCTCAAAGCGCTTCGCAGAATATATTTAAAGTAGATTGACTGGGTATTTTGTGGGTGAAACGCAGCAAAAAGCCAAATTAAAAGGTATTTCCCCGCCTCTCAAAACAACAATGCAAACACGCATGTGTTACAGATCCTTATAGTTTTAATTACAGGAAGGATTAAGCCCACAAAAAGATGATTAAAAGAAAAGAGACATATCGATCCAAAGCAGCTACTGAGATTTGTACAGCTTTTCCTCTGCGCACACAATCAATTCAGAGTCAAAGACTGTTATTTCACTAAGTAATTGATTACCAGCAGGATTTGAGATTTTTCTTCTCTCTCCAAATCTCCGCAACCGGGACTAACTGCTTACTCATGCGGCAAAAACACATTACTTATTACTGGCTCTGGTACTGAGACCAGACCTGAAATTCCTCTTCGTCTTAGCCTGCGAGACCATTTTGCCTTAGCATTTAAGACTAGCCAGAATTGAGGAAATTTCTTAAATTCAAGATTAATTCAAAGGCCGCCTTTTTCTTAAACCGAAGTAAGACTAAATTCAAGAGTTATTCCACCATTCTGCGCTTTCTTAAATTTGAATTCCAAAAATGGTCCAAATCCCAAATCCAACCATAGCCTGTGAGACCATTTTGTCTTAACATTTAAGGTGGCACATCTCTTCCAAAGGATGGCATCTCCAACAATGCAGCGCTACCCCCACAAAACGTAGTGCACTGGAGGGTCAGCCTAGATGATGAGACGTATTGTTGAAAATGATCCTGGTCAATTGTAAAAAAAAGACTATATTATTACAGCGTGGTTCTGATTACTTTTATCTCCTAAATGTCTATCTCTAATCTACAGCTCCCTGTGAGCAGCGTTCACTCCCTGTGAGAAGCGTTCACTCAGTAAATCGACTTAATTATGTACACATTCATTCCAGGCATCTCCGAGCTACATGCGTGAGACAAATGAGATATCTGGTGTGCACTGGTCACTAGACACAGACAATTAGCGCTGAATTCACTCATTGGAGGGCTCCAATTCTCTCAGGTGTCCAGTTGCTGACACCCTGTCTTAATCCACTGCCTCCAGGGAGAGATGTATCCCTGGTGAAGCTCCAACTCTTTTAATTTATCGCAGTTTCAATTTTAACAAAATTAGGGTTAGGATTACACCACCACTGTTTGTGGGACACTGCTGTGCGCAATTGGTTTCAATTACCCATTAAATACACAGTCAATTCATTTACAGTATATTCTGTGACGCTCTTTGAGATATCTCAATGATGTGATAAGGCGCTATATTAAATGTAAGGATTATTATTATTATTAACAACAACTTGCATTTATGTAATACCCTTTGTGTGGGTAGCGTCTCACCTCCACCTAGTCTCCGACCAAATTTGAGGTGGTGCAAATTCTGCTAAATTCTTAAATTCCATCTTAATTTGGAAGCCAGTCCTTTTTGAAGAACTGTGGAAAACCAGCTTCCAAACATAGATTAAATTGAAGAGTTTTCTACATTTCTGTGCAATCATAATCTTTAAAAAGTAAAATGTTTTAAAATTAGCCTAAGATTAAATGGAATTTCAGGCAGGTCTAGTATATCCTATCGAACGAGCAGCTATCGAATTGATAGTTTCTACAACTTATGGCATCATCTCAAAATGCAAGGATTATCATTATTATCACCCAACATTTGATTAGTAAGTCTCTGTTACTTTATTCTCTTAGGCCAAGACATTTTCTCAGACTTCCCCTCACTTGCTCAGATGCCACTATTCACATAGACCTTAAATAACACAGAACAGATTGCAATATTTTACCACGCCGATGCTCTTTGCTCTGAGTCTAAATCAAAATGACCATTACAACTGGCATCTCACACTGGCTGTAAAATAACTGCACATTGTCTGCAACTAAACATGTCATATTCACTCAGTTGGTAGCACTCTTGCCTCTGAGTCAGAAGGTTGTGAGCTCCACAGTTGTTGGTTGCGCTCTCAGCCTGTCTCCATTGGATTCCCTCTGACTTGCTCCCTTCCTGACCTCGTTCAAAGTCCATCGTAAGTCCGACTTCTTGGACCACGCACCACGCTTTCAGTCGTCTCTCCCCTCCCCACTCCTCTTGGCTTCCACCTTCAATTCGGGTGCTAAGCCAGGATTCATAAGCACCTTGGGATGGCTTCCTGATGTGAAAGGAACTGTATGAATATAAATTTGTACTGTATTATATTGTTGTGCGATCGAGAACACAATCTCCAATGAGGTGCTTGGGGGGGACTGCTGCGCTGTTAGAAATCCTGTTTCTTCCTGTGTCCTGGCTGCCGTATTTTGCCCTCAAAATACAGTCACTACACTTTACAATATATTCTGTGAAGCGCTTTGAGAAGTCAATGACGTGATAAGGTCCTGCATCAAATGCAAGGATTATTATCAAAGGTATGAACCCCAAAACTTTGATTCTTGAAAAGAGAGGTGAAGAGAGGTGCAGAGTGATGTGAGCCGTTGCTTTTCTCTTCCAGGAGGGATCTTTGAATTAGTGGAAGGGGGGACGGTGGGAGCAGAGGAGCTGGCCTTCAAATTTGCTGTGAACAACATCAACAGGAACAGGACTCTGCTTCCCAACACGACCCTGACCTATGACATCCAGCGGATAAATATCTACGACAGTTTTGAAGCCTCCAGAAAAGGTAATGTCTGGACCCCTTGCAGGTTATAGCGCCTCAGAAAGCCTTCCCGATGTGAAAGGCGCTGTACAAATGTAATATTGGATTGCATTTTGTTTGGTGGCCATTTGCTAAAATCTGTGGTTTCCGAGCTCCACTCTCACGCTTTGCTTAATAAGTTTATCAACTCCCTTTTTCCAAGCTTTAAACCTTCTCAGATGTTTTCTGGAGTTGTTGCTGATTATTCCACTTAGTCTTAGCCTTTAAGATATCAGCCTGGCTCAGCTAGTAGCACAGTTATCTCTCAATGAGAAGATTGTGGGTTCAAGCCCCCATCTCTGAGCTCATTGAATAGGCTGACACTCCAGTGCAGTGCTGGGGTGAACAGCTCTGCTATTATCTCGATGGTCTTAGATCCATTGGATCTCTAAGTTAGTTCCCATGGTGAAGTAATCAATAGGAGTAACTGGTGGATGTTAATGATAGCCCTGGTAATGGCTGGTTCACAATGAGCCTTAACATTGCTACTTATTCTTAAGACCCATATTCTGCTGTTGATAAACTTGATTCTCTCCCATGCAGCCTGTGACCAGCTCTCCCTCGGAGTGGTTGCTATATTTGGACCTTCTCATAGTTCTTCATCCAACGCCGTACAATCCATCTGCAATGCCCTGGAGGTCCCCCACATTCAAATAAGGTGGAAACATCATCCCATGGACAACAGGGACTCCTTCTATGCCAACTTCTACCCCAACTATTCCTCCCTCAGCCATGCTATCTTGGATCTCATACAGTTTCTGAAATGGAGGACTGCAACCGTTGTGTACGATGACAGCACGGGTAAGTGGTGTGTTTCTGGATAAACAGATGGCTGTGCTTAGTCAGTACAGGGTGGTTAGTGTCAGCCTGGCTCAGTTGGTAATGCTCTCCCTTTTGCGTCAGAAGGTTGTGGGTTCAAGCCCCACTGCAGGACTTTGAATTTACAAACTAGGATGATAGTCCGACACAATGCTGGTGGGAGCACTGCAGTGTTGATGGTGACGTCGTGATGTGATGCTGGATCCCGCAAAAGATCCCGCTACTCAAAAGAAAAGGGAGTTTCTCCCGGTGTCCTGGCCAACAATCCTGGCGCAAATCAAATTGTTTGTTCACTTCATGGCTGTTTATGGGACTTTACTGTGCACACATTGTCTGCCACGTCGGTTTACAAATACACAGTCACTAGACTTTACAATTTAAATCCTGAGACACCTTGATGACGTGATGAGATGTTATATCAAATGCAAGGATTGATTGGCCTCTGTAAAGAAATGCTTGCTAGTGTGTAGGAGGGCGACAGAGGATCTTAAGTGAGGAGCAAGCAATGTAGAAATTGCAATTAAAAGTTGCAGCGATATTAAAATCACCTTCCTGTTTGAAAGAGATTAAAATCCCAGTATGATACAGCGACACAGCAGCGGGTTTGATAATGGAAGTTGTATTTCTGACGTCGTTGATCTGCTTACTCCCCAAAGGTCTGATACGTCTGCAGGAGCTGATAACGGCTCCATCCAGGTATAACATACGCCTCAAGATCCGTCAGCTACCCTCCGACTCGAACGATGCCCGTCCTCTCCTGAAGGAGATGAAGCGAGGCAGGGAGTTCCGTGTTATATTTGATTGTGGCTATGCCATGGCTGCGCAGATACTTAAACAGGTGAGTGCCGCCCCCTCTCATTGGAGCGCAGTGTATCCTGTGAAGCGCTCTGAGACGACTCGAACACGAGATAAGGCGCTATATCAAATGCAAGGATTATTATTGCTAGCCTGATGTTAGTGACTGCTCTAACAAAACCGGCGGCTTGGGATTTTTGTGCTGTGTTTGCATTGCCTACTTTCTTTTTCTCCCTCTATCTCTCGTGAGGACCCCGCTCTCTGGACCTTAATCTTGGAGCTGCCCCCACCCACCTATTCCCTCTCTCCCCCCCTGCTGCTTTTAAAGCTTCCAGCCTTGCCACTGTGCGGCGCTCTAAGGCGCTATCTTGCATTGGTGCTCCATACCAATGCAAGTTGTTGTTGCTTTAAGACCCACGTTTTTCGCCTGTGCTTCAGACTTCTTTTCAGTCCCAACGACCCTCCTCAGCTCTGCCCAACATGCTTGTGTACACAGTCAGCTGCGTGAAGAGCGCTTAAGTGATCAATGTAAATCGTTGGAGTGGATCATGATTCTCCCTGCACAGTCTTTTCAAACTGATTGCTCTCGGGCAACTTAGAGAAAAGAGCGAAGGCTTTGACCCCTTGCCATGCTGTTATTTTTAGTACAAAGCCCCAATCCATTGCATTCACCCTTTGGACTGCGGTCATTTCTGAAATGCAGAATAATGAGGCTGACCGTGGCTAATTATAAGTGAATTGAACGCCACTGAATTCATTACAATCATCGCTGCTGGATTTTCCCCTGTTTTTAATTACTATTAACATTTCTTAACAGTTTATTAGTGTTGTGCACTGGGCAGTCTCATTTGATCATACCCTCGAGTTTGTTCTGCTAACAATTATAGATTACCAAGGAGTCTGAATTCCTAATAGAAGCCCAACTTCACTGGTGAAGCCGAAATAATGGCATCTTGGGTTTCCATTGTGGTTCAGTGGCTACAGCTTCACAGGATGTGCTCCAGAGATACAGATCGCAAAGAACTCAGTTCTTGTGTTCAGTCCCTGGGCTATAACGATTGAGACAACCTTAGTAGAGCCGATGTCGTCGAACTACAATTCGCGTCAGCTTCCTAAGTATGGGGCCAATAGTTTACACTACTAGCTTCCAGGAATATCCTTCTTAAAATAATTCTACCTTTTTTTTAAATTTTTTAATTTTTTTAATTTCAAGATCCTCATCCTCACCTTGATTTCAAGATCCTCATCCTCACCTACAAGGCCATTCACGGCCTTGCTCCCTCCTACCTCTCCAACCTACTATCCCCCTACCTACCTGCCCGTACCCTCCATTCCTCTGGCTCCGGTCTGCTCCACACCCCCCGCCCCAACCGCCCTACCATCGGTGGTCGGGCCTTCAGCCTCTCAGCCCCCAGGCTCTGGAACTCTATCCCCCAGTGCCTTCGCCGCCTCCTCCCTTTCCTCCTTCAAGGCCGGTCTCAAAACCTTTCTCTTTGACCGTGCCTTCAGCTCCCTCTCGACTCTCTTCCCCCTCCTCGCTCCCTCCCTTCCCTCTCCTCACCCTGACCATTTCCCCCCTCCTTGCTCCCTCCCTTCCCTCACCCTGACCATTTCCCCCCTGCTCTGGTCATGACCCAACTGTGCAGCGCCTTGGGACGTCCTCCTGACGTGAAAGGCGCTTTATAAATGGAATCTTGTTGTTGTTGTTGTTGTTGTTGTACCTGTCCATCCATTAACTTTGTCTGTCCTTTTTTACCAATCCTAAACGATTCAGTGTCTATTAATTTCTGGGCAACTCAATCCACGGTCTCCCGTTTCCTCTGTGTCCCCTTCACCCCCCCCCTCCCTCCCCCCAATTCACTGTCAACGTTTGATCTTTAGTTCTCTCTCCCCAGAGGGACGTACCCTATTAACCCAATCCCAGAGTATATTGGTGAATCTCAGTTAGCAAAGTGATGGGGATTCCACAAGGGTCTCAGCCCAGACATAAGAAAGTTAGCAGCTTGATGGGGTTTAGGCAGGGCAATGGGATTGAAAGAACAGCTCTGAAAGCCATTGGGACTTAATGAGCCTGAATGGCCTCCTGCTATGCTGTAGACTTCTATGAAACTATGAAAACTTACTGGAGGGAGTAGTTTGGGTCGGCTGCTGAGCAGTAGAATGGTATCCAATTGTAAACCATAGACTTCAGGCCTGGAGGGTGACAAAGAGATGGGGAAAGAAACCATCCAGGACTGAAGTTCCTTGTCTGAACGGCTAACATTCTAACATCTTTCTGCTCTTTTGCAGGCCATGGCAATGGGGATGATGACGGAGTACTACCACTATATTTTCACCAGTCTGGTAATTTATGCTTCTGTCCTTTTAATGCAGTGTAGCCGTTATTTAAGTCGAGAGTCCATTTGCTGTTCTGAATGTGGTAGGTGGAATATTGAATGTTTAATGCACATACCAGCCTTGTTCAGGTCCTGTTGCACTGAGTCACATTCAAGCCACGAAGACTGGAGTTCAAATGGAGCCTTAGAAAAACGAGGAGGGGTGGGGTTGGAGGTAGGGAGGGAACAGTATATATGGGTGGCAAGCAATGTTCTGTTCTGAATTGCAGCATTGGGCAAGTTTAAAACATCGCTTTGCCAGCTAATAGTAATGACAACAGCAATCCAAGCTGGTTCACGTGCACTATAGATTTATGGTGTTATAGTGTGTCTGTCAGCTGGTGTTATAGGTCTCATGGGACACTATTCATACAGAGAAGGGCATTCCTCCTCCTGGCCAACATTTCCCAGGTGAAATTGGTCCTTCATCGCTCTTTGGGTCATTGCTGTGTACAAATCGCTTGCTGTATTCACCTTCAAAATACATAGTCACTGCACTTTGTGAGGCATTATATGGGCTGTATTAAATGCAAGGATTATTATGATTACCAATTTAAGCAGCAAAGCTCATTAAAGTCTTTTTTTAAAGATGCAATGAGTTAGAAATGTAATGGGGACAATGGGCTTCTCCAATGGATGTTCCAGCAGTGAGTTCCACAAAGAAGTTTCTCTCAAATTCTCCCTGTATCTGCCACTGGATATTTCATATTGATGCCTCCTCTGTTTAGAGCAGCGCTCCCCAATACTGCCCTGGAGTGCAAGTCTAGGGTGTGAGTCTTGAGGTGGGGGCTTGAAACCATATTCTACTGAGACTGAAGGTGTGAGTTTGAGCTCCATTTCAGGGTTTCAGCTCACGGTTGAGGCTGGCACTCGAGCAGAATGTTTATTTCAACTGAATGATCACGACAAGCGGTCAGACTGACAGGGGAATGAGCTTGGAAGGGTTACCAAGCGGAATAGAGAGAAGGCATCTGAAGATGTAACCCAGATACATTAACTCAGAGATGCATGAACAACCCTACATCTGTTTTCTCAGCTTGCCCCACTGTGCGTCTTACTGTGCTCTGTAACATCATCAAGTTAATTTCCCCGGGTCGTTAAGTATTTGATCATTAAGGTTCCAAAAACGTACGCAGAAATAAACAATATAATACGATTTACATTGAGGTGTTGGGAGGACGTCTCAAAGTGTTTGACACTGCAGGTTGGGCACCTTAGCTGGGGGTGGGAGCTGAGGGTTGTGGAAGGGCAAAGGACCAAAACCACAGATAAAAGAGGTACATCGAGAAAGACCTTGAATGAGGAGAGGGAGGAAGTGAGGAGTGAGTCAGACAGCGTCAAGAATGATGTTCCGGAGCCAAAGCTATCAATAATTCTTTAACAATGTGATACATTTTCTTACATGGGTGCCGATTTATCTCTGGTATCTGCCTGGTGAATGTACACTAAATCCCCTCTAATAATAATAATAATAATAACAGCCTTTACAAAAAAAGCTAATCATTTGGTCACTCAATCCACGACTGTTTGTGGGACATTGCTGTGCGCAATTGGCTGCCGCGTTTTGCCCACAAATATACAGTCAATTCACTTTACAGTATATCCTGTGAAGACATGATAAGGCTCTATATCAAATGCCAGGATTATTATTATTACTAGATTTAGTATAGTGCCTTATCACAACATTAAAACATCTCAAAGTGCTTCACAGGATTTACTGTAAAATGGAGTGACCGTTTATTTGTAGACAAATGTTCTAGCTGCAGCCAAGCTAATGTCTTATAAAGATTCAACATCGATTCTACAGTTCAACTCTCTCTCTCTCTCTCTCTCTCCCTGTATATTTGCTTCCAAAACACACGGTCACTACAATTTACGTTATGTTCTATTAAGCGCATTGAAATGTCCTCCTGATGTGAAAGGTGCTGTGTGAAATATGAGGATTATTTTTGCTATTTTATTGAAACTATCTGAATAGGGTTAGTTTGGCCTCAGTACAAGTTACCTCATGTTCTGGGCAGTTCAGTGCCAATGCATCTATGGTCCCATCATTGTTGCTTTACATTTCCCCTCTGATGCTACCATGCCCCCACCAGCCCCCTCCACCCCCCCTTCCCACCCGTCCCCCCCAACCCCCCCTCACACACAAACTCTTGTCTGCTTTAGTGAACGCATTCTACGGAACCAACCTCATGGGGTGCTGATGAATTGAAGTTTTATGTTAAACTGAATGTTTGAAGAAAGGTCCCACGCTGATTGTCACAGCATCGTGTTCAGATACTTGGCACGGGATTGCCTGATGGCTGCCAGTTGGCAGAGTTGAATATAATCCTTTGAACAGTCAGTACGGCAGGTGGACTTTACATGACACTTTAACCCTAGCAGCGCTCATTTTTTCTGCAGTCAGGAAGGGATTACATAGTAGGCCAATGTATTCTTTGCTCACCGCAACAGCAACTTGCATTTATACAGCAGAGCATGATGCCTTGAGCATAGATGTAGTGCTGCCGAACACACAGTTCAGGACTAACTAACAGAGCAAATAGCAGATGTGGTAATAGAATAGAACATGAGGTAATTTGCACTGAGGTAAAAACCAAGCTCCGTTCAGGCAGTTTAAACTCTCTATGAACCTCACACTATTTTGATTCCAGAAAAAGGTGTGAAAGATTATTCGATTTGAATTATTCGGAAGCAAATTGGTAGAAAGGAAGAGAGCTGGTCATTAGCACACAGAGCCAAGAAAGAAACAAAATAAATGGCAAACAGCCTAGAGCAAATAGGAGGAGTGAGTTACAGGGCAGATTATAAATTTAAAGAATTTTAATGGTGTAGGTACAGAATAATAATTCCTGCATTTGATTTAGTGCCTCATCAGGTCAATAAAAGCTTCACGGTAGTTACTTTTAAGTGTAGTGACTGTGTCACTGTGGGCGAATGAGGCAGCCAATTTGCATCCAGCATTGTCCCGTAAACATCCATTGACTGCTGCATTTGCCTACAAATATATATTCACTGCATCTTCCAATAAGTCCTATGAAGCACTTTGAGAGTCTTACCGAAATGAAAGGTGCAGTACCAAATGTAAGGATTATTATTATTATCTTGTTCAATTTGAGTTTTGTTGCTGAACTTAGAAGCTTCTCAGACAACTTGTGGGGTGCGAGGGGGAAAGGTAGAAATCCTAACGGGGTCTAGATTTATTCTATGGAATTTTTTCAGTGCGTAGGATAGAGAATTTGTCAAATTCTTGACTTCAGTCTTTTCACTTTGAGGTTGTTTTTCTGCAAGTTTCTGTTTTCAGAAATACAGAATTTGAGACTTTGCCAAATTCTGGTCTTGAATTCCTATGGAAATAAAAAAACTTTGACCCAGTGGATCACTTTGTCCCTGCATCGGCTTGTTGCAAAATGTACAAGAGGGACATCTTCGCACAAAGGCCTTTTCTTCAGTCTTAAAAGCTCCATGTGTTCACCCTGTCTTTATAAAGAATCTCTCAGGAATCGACGTGCCCTGGGAATGGCGACACTGGATAAAAAGCACATCTATTCTCGCAATCTATTAGTCGTCAACGCTGATGGGAGTTTGTTGAACGATGAATCAGGACAATACATTGAATCGTGTACGTACAGCCCTGGTGGAGTGAAGCATAAGGGAAGAGTAAGATTGAAGTTCCGAAGAATACTGGACTGCATTGGGTATTCTGGAGGTCTTTTCCATACATGACTTGTCATTCAGTGTAGTGATTTATCTTTGTTGACACAGAGACGCGTTGTATTAAGAGCCGCAGTGCTCTGGAGGGTGGCAGGCCATGATACGGACTCCCAAAATTGGTTATGTACAGCAGAAGAAGGGAAGAACAATAGCAGTTAAGGAGTCTCAAGCTTGATTGTAATAGCCTGTAGCTTGTATAATGAAGAGAATTATCTCCTGCCACTCACTCCCTGTCCATAAACATACAACGAAGGTACCAGAGATAAACTGGCAACTGTGATTCCAGCATTTAGTTGCTCCCACTGAGTGTCCTAGTCAGGCTGCACCCAGTGTTGCCTACGGTTCTGCATCCCGTGACATGGGGGTGTGGGGGCTGCTCAGGCAGAGACAGTGTGGAAAAGAGCAATGAAGATGATCCCCAGGGTTAAGGCAATGAGCAATGATTAGACCAGCTAATGCTCTTCAGGCTTGAGAGAAGACGTCTCAAAGGGACCTTGTAGAGGTGTATGATATTTTAAATGGGATTGAAAAGCAAACTCAGGACGATAATTTTGGCTGCACTGACAAACAGAATGGGAGAACAAAGGGTAAGGGTTGCAAAGGGCGATTTCAGGACAACCAGGAAGTATTTCTTTACCCAGAGGGCAGTTAATGAGAGAGAGAGCATGGGTCAGGGATTCAGCCTGTTGGGTTGTGATTGTCATAATGTCCTGAATATACACTTTATATGTTTGTCCTTGCTGCTGACATGACTGTCAATGTGATAGAATGAAGTAAACGGAGTAACTCATATCTATAATGAATGATGAAACATCTGTGTATATTTGGTTAAATTGCTCTTGCGACGAAACAAAACCCATCAGCGATGTGATAAAACCAGAGCCCGGATCCACATTGCCTATTTGTCTTGTTTATTGCTGCCCCACTCTGTTTTGACATAGTGAGCGATGATTTAACTAAAGCCCCTAGATCTGTTTCAGCTTCCACCTTGGCACGTTCTACCCCATCTGTGCAGTGCATCTTTCTCGTTTCCTTACTTCCTACGTGTAGGAGCTCGGATTTATCTGCATTAAACGTCACAGTGTCAGCCTGGCTCGGTTGCTAGCACTCTTGCCTCTGAGTCAGAAGGTTGTGGATTAAAGTCTCATGCGGGCCTTTGAATTTACAGTCTAGGCTGGTGCTCCAGGGCAGTGATGGGGGAGCGCTGCGCTGTTGGAGATGCCTGTCTGCCTGTTCAGTTGGACGTTATAAAATTCCGTGGCACTATTCTGAAGGAGAAGGGAGTTTTTCCGCGTGATCTGGCCTACAATTCCGCAGATAAAATTGGTCATTCAGGTTTAGGCTGTTTGTGTGCAAAATGGCTGCCAGATTTGCCCACAAATGGACAATCACAATACTTCACAGTAAAATCCAGTGAAGGGCTTTGAGACATTTTGACGATGCGATAAGGAGCTGTATCAAATGCAAGTATTATTTTTTTTCCAGTTATCAGTCCACATGCATTCCCTATCAAGCTCTCTTTAAAGATTTTTTTTTGTTGCCTCCTATAAGACCGCAGTTCTCCAACCACCGTTCCTTCAAACTTGCAGCCCTGACAACCTCAGAAATCCCCCTATTCATCTGCACTGCAGTGATACACAAACGCTGAAGTTAAGCTGTGATAACATGTGAACAGTTTCGTATGGAGGCAGGAAATTATGTTTGATTGATAGCAGGATTTGTGGCTTATCTCATTTAGTTGCCCATTGCCCCTTCAAATCCTTTAAAACTAAGTGCTACTGTTATAGGTAAGTCTATGCAGCCTTCTTGCCCTCCAGGTTACAATTTTAATCATAGTCCATAATACAAAGCAATTTCAATGTTTTTCTTAGTGCACAGAATAATCCTTGCGTTTGCATGGATGTAGCCCTTACAATGTTAAAACATCTCAAAATCCTTTACAGTAGGTAAATGGTGTGAGACAATTTGCACATTGGAATGTCCCACAAACAGCTATGAAATGATTCAGCAACTTATCTAGGGGATTTTTGTTCCAGGACACCGGGAAAACTCCTTTTTTGAACGTCCACTTGAACTGATAGACTCTTTGTTTACTGTCTCATTGATGGCATCTCCAGCATTGGAACATCAGACTAAACTGGTAACTCCAAGCCCCGTAGACACACACAGACACAGACACATATAAATGTCCACATACCCACTCGCATGTTCACACCCACATAGATGCATTATGAAGTGCAGTATATCAAATGCAAGGGTTATTATTGAATTAAATATTAATTTATTCTTATTAATAATAATCAGGACCAAATGAATTTGGAGTATCCAACAATGACATACCGTTGATCGCTGAATTGTACTAGTCAGAACCACGACAGAATGGAGTTGGTAAACTTTGATCACCGATTAAATGGATCGTGGGAACTTTATTCTCCTCTATTTCTTCTGCTCCTGAGATTTCAAACTCACAGCAGCAAATTACATTTCTAAATCTCTTGTTTACTACTCACTTTCCTTCTCTACAGCCAACATTCGCTTCAAGCATAACGAGCAGGGATCTTAAACTTCAATACGATACAGTACAAATTCTCAAGTGGAGTAATAAATCTCAATGGTTTGTAGAAATAATTGGGGTCTATCTTGAGATATTTCATAATGGATTTCTTAATTAAGAAATCAGGATATCTGTCAACATGCCTGCATCAACATTATTTGTGGGAACGGGGTTCCCTCGAGTTCGTAGACAAGTGTGACATATTTCCAGTTACTGTTTCTCTCGAACCCGCTCTGAAATTTCTTACTTAAGAGATCCGCCAGGAATGGCGCAAAATTACGGTCAGGAATATATAACGCCTGGTCTTCATTGACCCCGTGGAGCAGGATTTGAAGATAAATGCACCAGTTAATGAAATGATCTCTCAGCAAGTTACGCCACAAAGAATAGCTGCCGTATTTCAATGAAGCGAACGCCAACTATTTCACGAGACTGTGAGAGCGTTATTAACAAAGGCCTGTTTTAGTTGCAATTTCTGCAGTATTGTTTTTTTTAAAAAAAATTGTTTTGCGACCGATGGTGTTGCTTCGCCACAAATGGGGCCACAGTGAGAGTGAGGTTTAATTTATCGGAGCCTTCCACAGCCCCACACAATATTGGTTATAGCACAAGCAAGAAAGCCAAACACTTGAGCAAGCCTTTGAGTCAACGCAGCTGTGCTGGGAACAAAGGGGACACTAGTGCTATTCATTACATCCAGCGTGTGAAATTCCTTAACATGGGACTTGCTCTCTCTGCTTCGCAGGATCTCTTTGCCCTGGATTTGGATTCCTACCGGTACTGTGGTGTAAACATGACTGGATTCCGAATTCTAAATACGGAAAACCCATACGTGGCTTCCGTAATCGAGAAGTGGTCAATGGAGCGACTCCAAGCTCCTCCGAGCCCGGCTTCCGGCTTACTGGATGGAATTATGACGGTACGACTGAAAAAAAAGGTCTCCCATCAAACGAATGCATGCACTTTGAAGGTTAACAGACAGGGGTTCCATTCCGTTGTGGTAGTCATTGCTAATAAACTCAATTGGACACAACTTGGAAAAGGGTCCTTTTAAATGCCACTCACTGTCACGTAATTCCCTCATGAATATGAACGGTGACAATGTGGGCTTTGGTTCACCTCTGTTAACCTCCATCTGCTACGGAATTGTTAAACATAAGGAGAGATCAAAACACTCGCACATTACTTTTATCATAAATAAGAAAACGAGGGTGGGGAGGGGAGAGGAGGAGGATTGGGGGCAATCATCCTTTCAGTCTAGTCATTCGGATTCTCACGTTGTCTCTCGGGGAAAGAAAAACGCTCTTTATTTGTATTCAGGGTTTGTCTGCCATCCCTCTCACAACAGCATGCTTAACCTAATGAATATTCAGAAGATTTAGCCTAATGCTGTTAATCTCTTATCTGCTCTCGCCAGTGGTACAAAACACTAATCGGCACTCGGGGTAAACACAGAAAGCGAAACACTTTACAATTATTAAGATTATTGCACAAAGGGCTCTTTAGATTTGAGATGCTGATCGGCATGTTCAAGGTGCGGGTGGAGCAGACTTGAGCGGAGAGTTATGTTGTTTCATCTTTAAGGCTCCGGAGTTTGTTTGCATCCGAGTCTCTGCCAATTGAACTGCCACGATTTCAATGGCTTTAAATAGGAAGAAGGAAAATCATATCAGGAGGATGTCTCAAAACCCTTCACAGGATTTATTGTGAGATTTAGTGACTGAGTATTTTGTAGGCAAACGTGGCAGCCAGTTTGTGCACAGCAAAATGCCACAAAGAGCCATTAATGAAATGACTAATTTTATCTGGGGAATTGTTAACCAGGACACCAGGAGAAATTCCCTTTGCTTTTTGAGTAGGGATCCAAGGGATCTTTAGCATCCACCTGACAGGAAGACAGGATCTTGTTTTAAAACTTATCCGAAGGACAGTACCTCTGATAATGCAGCCACATCCCCCCTTCCCTACTAGTACTATATAAACTCACAGTCTTGATTGAATTCACAACCTTCTCACACTGAGGTGAGCTTGCTACCAACATGTACAGCACCTTTCATGTACAGGGTGACCAAAACTTCGTAATATCTACCCTACTATCTAAAAATAAACCAAATATAATTTCTTTAAGACTTATTAAACATTGTAATGGCATCACAACTTTTTGGTCACTCATCCTGTAGATCACATAATGTCTCAAAGGACTTTACATTGAGACTCAGCAGGGTGTGAAGTGGTGGGATTGGGAGCAAGATGATCCCAATCGAAGGGGCAGTGAAAGAGGTCGTTTGTCAGAAGGGTGCAAACTGCGAAGCTACTGTTAACATACGGGAGAGAAAATCAGCGAGAGATTGGCTGAAAAATCAACTTAAGCAGTTTTCACATTTATTTCAGACAGATGCTGCTCTGACATATGATGCAGTTCATATTGTCTCAATGTCCTATCAGCGAGCTCCTCAGATGACGGTAAACTCTCTGCAGTGCCACAGGCACAAGCCCTGGCGATTTGGGAGCCGTTTCATGGCCTTCATTAAAGAGGTAACCAGCGAGGAAAAAGGCATTAAGGGGTGTGGGTGAAAGGGCATTGACATTAAAAGATCTTGCAAGATCTACAAAACTGGTGAAACCGATGGCTGAATGGCCTAATCCTGCTCCATATTCCCGTCCAGCCTAGCCCACCATTGATGGTTGAGTCTTCAGCCTTTCTGCCCCCACCCTTTGGAACTCCATTCCACAGTCCCTTCTCCTAGCCCCCTCACTTGCCTCCTTCAAGGCCTGTCTCAAGACCTTCCTCTTTGACTACCCCTTCGGTTACCCTCCTACCCCCACCCTCCCTGCTCTCCACCCCTCTTGATCCCAACCCCCAGGTTGAAATCTCTGACTGTCCAGCACCTTGGGACATCCTCCCGACAGGAAAGGCGCTGTGTAAATGTATTTGTTGCTGTTATGTTATATAACTGTGAGTATCCACTGCATTTCATTTCCAATGGTTACCTATGAGTGAAATCAACAAAAGCTGTGCTTGCCATTGATCCTCATTAAGCAGAGAAATGCTCACAAAGGATTGAGGGAATTTGGCAATGAGGCTTTTGTAGCTCCTGTGCGATTAAGTTTGGCTGATAAGGTGTGTAACGGATGACCGGCCAGGAATGAATGAGGTGTGATTTCATGATGGGATTTAGTGAGGAGAAAGAAATCTCTGTACTTGATCTACCTTGATTTTCACGATTTATTTTTGAAACAAACAAGAAGAAAATCGCAGAGCAGAGTCGTGAATTTAAGAGCAGCTCCAAACAAGCCATGCTCTCCCTTAGTGATGAGTAGTGTTATGTTAACTCATGTAGGTAACATGAATGGACCACAGCTCTAAAATCCACTCAGTGTCTTGTACAGAAATATTGTACAATACTGCCATTTATTGGCCCCAAAGTTCACCTACTCTTAGCCTTAAGCGTTCTGCCTTAACATTTAAGATGACAGAGAAATTGTGGAAAATTCTTCAAGCCCGTCTTAACTTGGAACCTGTTCCGTTTGCAATTCTTAAACGGCTCCCATGTTAAATGAGCTCCAATCTAGTTGCTCAAGTCAAGTGCGCAACGTATAAAACATTGCTATGGTGCAGTAATATAATGCGTCACAGTGAGAGGGGTTGTGGAACTGTAGTTGATAAGGGTTTTCAGATATTCTCAGGGAACTGGCTGCCTGCTATCTGCCGGAGATCTCCCAACACAGTATTTCATCGTTCCCGCAGACTGATGTTAGGCTTTGCCCCTGCACTACTGGGAGTTCGGCACAAAGCGAGTTTATATTTCATTATGCTGGCAAGCACACAGCCACTTTGGGTTAAATAGGTTAATGAAAGTGCTAATAAGATATTCTGAGTGTTTCCAGTTTAAATGTTCTATTCACCTTACTCATGACAGATACAATTATACTTATAAAGTTGAAGATAAGGAGTTCTCAGGGAGAGCGAGCAATTGAAAGCAATACCTTTTCAATTCTTCCCCAAGTGACATGTGAGCAATGGTGCCGGCACTGATACACATAATCGCATTAAAGTTTGAAACAAGATACATGACTGGCACAATGGGTGTGCCAATAAATCAGAACTATGAAGCCAAACGGAATTCATGAAGTGAGTTGTAGGCACTTTATAAAGAACGGTGATGATTAATTAATCATATATTCCACACGGAGACAGAATTAGAATCATTGCCTTGTGAGAGTGTAATTAAAATTTACTGTTGTCGAGTAATTTATATAGCTGTGTAATTACCATCATGTATTTCTGTGTTGAGGCTCAATGGGAAGGATTAACAGGGCGAATCACATTTAACAGAAGCACTGGACTACGGACGGATTTCGATTTGGACGTCATCAGCCTTAAGGAAGAAGGACTTGAGAAGGTCTGTATGCTTCCAATCTCATCACTCAACTGACGTAAATACCGTTAGTCTTTCTTTGGTCAAGATCCGCATAGAAAACAGCAAACCCTCCTATATTTGGGCGTTGGCCTGGCTCAGTTGGTAGCCCTCTTGTCTCTGAGTCAGATGTTGTGGGTTCAAGCCCCACATTTGCACTTTGACCTCACAGACTAGGTTGACACTTCACTGGGGGAAGCATTGCGTTATCAAAGGAGCTGTCATTTGGATGCATCATTACACGACGACAAAGGTCATAGAATTGGGACGAGAGTATTTAAATTCAGTGGAGGAATTAGCACCAGATGGTACTTATGGACCATATGTCAAAGCCTTGTTGGGCCAAATTGCCTCACTCTGTGCTGTAATTTCTTGATAGTAATCCCAAGAGTCTGTTTCCTCCATCCAAACCTGGCTTCTGTTCAAAATAGCAAACCTGAGGGTTTGGCTTTTAATATTATGAAAGACCTTGTGGATGTCAGTCAGCTGTTTCTACTTGTTGGTGAGTTCAAACCCAGAGGGCATATTTATAAAGTAGGCAATAGCAGATCTAAAAGGGAGTTTAGGAGGAACTTCTTTACGCAGAGAATGGTGGGAATGTGGAACTCACTGCTGGAAGCTATGGTTGAAGCAGAAAGGATCAATGGATTTAAGAGGAAACTTAGTACAAACATGAGGGAAAAGGGAATAGAGGGGTATAGGAGAGGGGTATAGGAGAGGGGTGTAGGAAGAGTGGAGGCTGGTGTGAGTATAAACACTAGCATGGACTACTTGGACTGAATGGTCTGCTTCCATACTTTAATGCTCTATGTATTTCTCTGATGTAATCACAATTTTAATGTTAAAATCTTTTTCTGCTCCATGTTCCTGTGCTGTTCCACAGAACATAGAAAGAACAAGGTCAGTACGTACCTTTGCAATGTGGCATTAGGCACATGCAACCCATGGAAATGCATGGGGCCATGAGGTAGTGGGGGAGCTTGGAGTGATAGCCACCTCTCTGCAGCCAATTTGCGGCCACTCCGGGCTCCCACCAGCTGCCCTCAAGCCAATAGCCATTCACTGGGGCGGGACATCAGCCCACTGAGTTTGGTTGCCCAGGGACCCAGTGACAACACTGATAGGGGCCCCGGAATCGAGCTTTACATATGGGGCTCCAGGCTGCTTCGAGCCTCTTCATACCACACGTTTGGGGTTGAAATCCTGTGACTCAATCAGGGTTATCAGGGAAACGAGATTAGTAATCCCGAGCGGATTACTCTCTCAAAGAGCTGACACACAGACACATTAAGAAAAAAAACAAATCGGACAATGTTGAAAAATCTTAACTAAAAACATAGGATTTATTGACAAGGATTTATGGATTTAGACATCTTTCCCACAGCATTATCCCACAAACAGCCATGTCGTTAAATGACCCAGAGGGGACTTTTCGTATGGTGCAATGGGATCTTTTATCTTTTATCCCAAAACACAAGAGTCTGGTAGATCTCTAGCGTCTATCTGAAATGGGATGGGAACTCGGTTTGATATCTCCTCCGAATAATGGGCATCTCTGACAATGCAGAGTATCAGCCTAGACTGCGAGTCCAAAGTCCTGACTTGGGACTTGAACCTTCTGACTCAGAAACGAGAGTGTGACCGACTGAGCCAGACTGAAACGCAGAATGAAGAGAGTGTGCAAGTAAATGGAAAATGTGAGAGGTAGGCTATATATATATGTTTGAAAAATCATCTGTCAGAATCTGCTAAAATCTTTGACGATTCAATAATAAGGCACGATAAAGTAAACTACTCTAGAGTTTGAAAGTAATTTATCATTTGTGGCAGTCTGATCATGATGGACATCCAGTTAACAAGATAAAAATCATGTTCTCTGGAATAAAACTGAATGCTTATCTCTAGTGTTCTGGCACAGTGTATTTATAGGGACTGGGAAACAAATTGGACTATTGTTTGTTTCAAGGAAGCAGAAGCCATCAATCATTGTAAAAGTTGCTACAAAACCACAAATTAACCTGAATGTGTGAAAAATGCATTTAACACAAAGCCACAGAAACACTCCACCAATCAATCTCATTGTGCTAATTGAAGAGTAATGCGTACTTTCCTCATTATAGCGCAACTCTATACATTTATCTTGTTTTAAGTGACACTCTGCACCTTTTGCAGGTGCTCAGCATTCTTGACTATTGAATAATAACAATATAATAATCCTTGCATTTGATATAACATTTGGGGGAATTGTTGGCCAGGACATGGGGAGAAACTCCTTCCTTTTGAGAGATAAATTACTTCATTATAGCTCCTTCAGTGCAGGGAGGGTTCAGTGAACAGTAAATAACAGTATACTGGTAGTCAAACCAATAGAAATACGTGGTGCATGAACATATTTCAACTAAATCAAATAACTGTCTATTCTCAATATTTCAAACGCCCAGCTGCTTTCAAGAAAATTTAACACTTGACCACATCAACTTAGAACTGATTCAATTAATCAACGTTTTTTACATTGTAAATCTAAACGGATGTCGAAGGTATCTAAAATGTATCTCAGTGTTATTACTGTCATGAGGTTTGAACGTTTCCCTTGTCTCATATTTGCCAGATGATTAGGCTTCTTGCTGTGAAGGCTATCTTTGTCCTGGTAAGCTGTATAACATCTTGTTTTGATGTCCTGTCATTCTTAGTTAATGCACTTACTGCAAGACATTTTGTCACAGCCTCAAGCAGTCTACCCTGGCTAAGTGCCTAAAATTCTACACCGGTGAAAAGCAACCCATTTGGAAGATTGCAGTCTTACCCGAATACAAGACTCATTACTTACGAGGGTGGCAAAATTTCCTTCGTCAGAACCTCTGGTAAAGGTGAAGATTACAGCAATTTTGATTGAAAAACACAGAAAAGGTGTTCGTCCTGAGAGAATAAACTTCAGTCCATCCAACGAACTCCACCGTTGAGGTCCATGTGCAATTCACGCACAGTCAAACCACCTTCAACTCCCTTGCTCTGCACCTCTCACCTTTAGCTGAATGGATTTCAGTCGTAGAATTGCTTTTGCCAATTGGACGTCCATTCAATTTTTCTAACTCTCCATAAATTACATTGAGTTTTATGTTTCCCAGCTCATAAAAAATGCACTGTCGTATTTGTCCTTAAGATCTATTTTTTCAAGCACACTTTTGGTTACTTTGTCCCTCTCCACACCGTCACCCTACCCCCCACCCCCAGTTCCTGAACTTCCCTCCCCTCAATCTGTTTCTTAAACAATTCCAGTGTTGTCCAGACCTCAGTCAGGCTTTTTGTTGGCTCATTCCCACTTTTTATTAGGTTATATGTTATAAAATTATATGTTTGCCTTTATGCAAACATATAATTTCTGAAGCGCTCCACACAGTTTCTGTGAAGCGTAGTGACTGTCACTGGGTAGGCAAATGCAACAGCCAATTTTCACACAGCAATGTCCTACAAAGTGAAAAAGGGGGAAAAATAAGTGAATGACCAATTTTATTTGTGGGGGGGTTGTTGGCCAGGACCCTGGCAAAAACTACTTGCTCTCTTCGAATAGTGCCATGGGAGCTTTAATGACCAAACAGGGGAATAGGTCCTCAGTTTAACGTTCCACCTGAATGAAGGCAAATTTGACAATATACTGCATCTGCCTTTATGGCTAGTTTTATTATTCATGTTATTTTATTGAAGTTCAACACAAATGTTCTCCCGCTGTACACTCGCACACTCGTCTTCAAGACTGCATTTGCGTTATATCTCAGAGACTTTGAGAGCCATTTATTTCGACAAGCCTGTGTAGTCTAGCAGAATGGAAGAACACAGATCCCTCCTTGCAAATGTCAATAGTTTCACAATGTCACAGCCTATGAGACATTTAGTAATCTGAGGTGCATTATGTACTCTCACAACTCACTAAAGGAGAAGCTCAGTTGAAACCAGCCACTTGATCCTGAATAATGCATTAAGGCAAAAGCTACCATCGTGTTTGTGCATGGGTAAACGGGTGGTGCTTAATACTCGTTACTTTTGGTATTATCTTGTCTTCATGATTCTACTCTCGTTTCCAAAGGAGTTTATTTCAACTCGCAGCCTGCCCCCAGTCGCAAATCGTGATTACAAGCACTCTAGTGTGTCTATGTTTGGGGTGCGGAGGAGAGGGTGTTGCACGTGGCAAATGCGAGCGTGAATTACTGGGTTGAGGAGTGGGCGGCCAAAATTAAACACATGCCCAACCAATTAGCGCACCAATGCATGTGTCAACAGAGATAAGATGACAGCCTGCAATTTGTGTGACGTATTACTTCACCCAAACTCTGGTAATCAGTTCTTATTTTTGGTTCTTGTGTTTTTACATAGAACATAAGAACATAAATATTAGGAGCAGAATTAGGCCATTCGGCCCCTCTAGCTTGCCCCGCCATTCAATAAGATCATGGCTGATCTATTCTAAGTCCACCTACCCGCCTTATCCCCATATCCCTTAATCTACAAGAAATCTATCAATCTCAGTCTTGAACATGTTCAAGGACTGAGCATCTACAGCCCTTTGGGGTAGAGAATTCCATAAATTTACTACCCTCTGAGTGAAGAAGTTTTTCCTCAACTCAGTGCGAAAGGGCTTACCCCTAATTTTAAGACTGTGACCCCTGGTTATAGTTTCTCCAAACGGGGGNAAAAGTCTCCGACTATCTATTCTGTCGTGCCCCTTAATAATCTTATAGGTTTCTATAAGATTACCTCTCATTCTTCTATATTCTAAAAAATATAGCCCAAAATTGCTCAACCTATCCTCGTAACTCATCCCCTTCATCCCTGGTACCAACCTAGCGAATCTACGTTGTACCCCCTCCAAGGCGAGTACATCCTTTCTTAAATAAGGAGACCAAAACTGCACACAATACTCTAGGTGCGGTCTCACCAGGGCCCTATACAGTTGCAGCAAGACTTCCCTACTCTTTTATTCTAACTCTTTTGTAACAAATGCCAACATACCATTAGCCTTCTTAACTGCTTGCTGTACCTGCAAACTAACTTTTTGTGACTGGTGTACAAAGACACCCAAGTCCCTCTGAATGCTAACACTATCTAGTTTCTCTCTTTTTAAAAAAGAATCTGCTCTACTGTTTTTGCCACCTCGGTGGATGACCTCATACTTCCCTACATTATACTTCATCTGCCACCTATTTGCCCACTCACCTTGTCTATCTATATCTTGTTGCATTTTTTAATATCATCCTCGGGTTTACTCTCCCTCCTAGTTTAGTGTCATCCGCGAATTTGGATATATTAAGTTCGATGTCCTCATCTAGATCGTTGATGTAGATTGTAAATAGTTGAGGCCCAAGCACTGATCCTTGTGGCACTCCACTAGTCACATCCCGCCAAGCTGAGAAGGATCCATTTATCCCTACTCTTTGTTTTCTTCCCGTTAGCCATTCTTCAATCCATGCTAATATATTCCCCTTAATTCCATGGACCCTAATCTTGTGAATCAACCTTTTATGCGGCACCTTATCGAATGCCTTTTTCATACTGGGGAAATCTGATTTATCTATGAGCTGTTGCTGGCTTAATTATGAAGTGCAAAAATAAACAGAGTTATTAAGAGACGCCAAGTTTTTGTGGAGGGAGCAAATTTGATAGTCATTGATCTGAATGAAGCATGAAGATCTCATCCTTATGTTTCATTATAATAATAATCCTTGCAATACAGATTGCAAGGATTGATCATCACGTTATCAAAAGGTCTCAAAGCGCTTCGCAGGATATGCTAAGGAGTGCAAATAGCTGTGTATTTCATAGGCAAACATGGCAGCCAATTTGTGTCCAGCAGTGTCCCACAAACAGCCATGAAGAGATCAATTTTGTTTGGCGGATTGTTGGCCAGGTCACTGGGAGAGAGAAACTCCTTTTTCTTTTTGAAGAGCAATATGGGATCTTTAACGTCCAGACAGAACACCTCTTCCAAAGGATGGTATCTCACCCCATCACCACCTTGGAGCATCAGCCTAGATTTCAAGCTCAAATTTCCAACATGGGAGCTTAAATCCATGACCTTCTGACTCAGGGAGGAAGGGAGGAAAAGTGACCAAAAACACGGTTGAGATGGTAGGTCTTAAGAACGGCTTTGAAGGTGGGGAAGGATGGCCTCTAGAGATCCAGGTCCACATTTTCCTTTCAGCAATAAATCTCCAGCTCTTGCCAGTATTACGTCACTGCTTTACTCAGCTTTACACTGTGAATGTTCAATATGATCCCGTGCATCAATGTGAGGGGAAACTCAGTGTGAAGCAAGCATTAAATGGAAGTGACATGAAGAGGGATTGATAGATAGACAGCTGATGTAATGACATGCTTTCACTTAAAGCCTTTTAAACTGTTTTACTCAGGCTCAATGCAATGCGATTTTGGCTCTGTGCCAGGCGGGAGCAGAATCTGGAAAATGATTACAACGTGTATAAGAAATGGGGGTCAAACATTGGGTTTCATGTCTTGAGCTCCCCTCTAAAGCCGATCCGACATAGCTTTTGTGAATTTGTAAGATTTTTCAAGTAAACAATATATCTGGACTCTCGAGCCATTTTGTTGAATAGAAAATTCACTTACTTATTCAACAGGATGGAATCTCAGAAACGTCAATCACAAAGGAAGCCATTTGAAATGCCATGCCTGTGCCAGATTCCCACTAAAGCTATCTACTCTAATCCCACATCCCACTTCTTCCTCCATAATATCTGACAGGCGTGCGAGCCTGGCTCAGTTGGTTCCACTTTCGCTATTGGGTCTGTTTTTCAGCCACTCCTCCCTGAAACTCTGGAACATGTCCTCTATCCCTCCGGCCTGCACCTTCCTTCCCCATCTTCAGATCGCGCTTGAAAACCTTCCCCTCAGAACGTGCCTACGGTCATCTCCCACTTCCAACCGGCTCGGTGTCGTGCTCCGGCACTGTCAAACGCAATGGGACGTGTGAGGGGCGAGTTGTTGTTTTTGTTGGGTTCAAACCCCACATCCGGGACTTGGAACACCCAGTCAAGGCTGTCACTGTCGCGCAGTGCTGGCGTGCCCTGCATTGTCCAAGGTGCCGTCCTTTAGATGACATGTTACACCGTGGTCCCAGTGCATATCAAAGATCCCATGGCACTATTGGAAAAGAGGAGGGAACGTCTCTTGGGGCCTTGCCAACGAACCTCCAGATAAAATTGGTTATTCACCTCATGGCTGTTTGTGGACATTGCTGTGTGCAAATTGGCCATTGTGTTTGCCTAGAAAATAGTCAGTCACTACACTTCAGAGTAAATCCTGTGAAGTGCTTTTAGACCTACTCCTGACATGAAAGACACTATATTAAATGTAAATCATGGTACAGCCTTTGGAGTAAAATGGATAGCTAGTCATGTCATATTACTGTTAAGAACTGAAAGTAATTTAGACAGAAACAGATTGTTAATGGCACTTTGAAAGCCCGCCCTTTGACAGCAAGGAACAATAAATAATTCTTGCATTTGATATAATGCCTGAGTATGTTGTCAAAACGTCTCACAGAATTTACTGTGGCAATTTAGCACCTACAGCCATGGAGTGAATGACCAATTTTTAATTCGGGGTCTGCTGGCCAATACTCTAGGAGATACTCCCTTCTCTCTCCCAAAAGCACCAAGGAGGACTTGAATGGTTAGGTGAGGCATTGGGCTAACTTCTCATCAAAATGATGGCCTCTGACAACGTAATGCTCTCCTGAGCACTAACTGGAATGTCAGCATAGACTTACAAGCTCAATGTCCCGAAGTGGGAATGGATGGATCTGGCAGCAATGATGTAGCTTGGGTAAACTAAAGGCTTGTTGTCCAATGTGGACTACCATTTTTGATGTCAATAATGTGAAACCATCTCATCCTTAAAGAGGCAAAGGTAGTTGGTTATATATTATGGAAAGTTATTACATTTTCTATGAAGCTGTGGTTATGGGGCTATAGTCAACAGTAAAGTTAACCTTTTTGTGTGTTTATTCCCCCCCAAATAGGTTGGAACCTGGGATGTGACCAACGGCCTGAACATCACAGAGATGTCCAGAGGGAGAGGATCGAATATAACAGACTCATTGACCAACCGGTCGCTGATTGTGACGACAGCTCTGGTAGGAGGTTCGGCTACAGGTGTCCGCAAGCTCTTGTACTGGCTGGGATCCAGGGCATCACCAGAGGAGACAGAGATCATAGGAACATAGGACCAGGAGTAGGCCATTCAGCCTCTCAAGCCCTGTTCCACCATCTATCAGATCATTCCTCAACTCCAATTACCCATCTTAGCCCCATATCGCTCGATACCCTTCCCTAACAAAAATCTATCCACCTCTGTCTTAAAAGTTTGAATCGGTTCAGACGCACAGGCACCAGAGTTGTCACCATTATGGGACCATCTCAAAGGCAGCTCACGTGACGAGGGTGAGATCCCAGGGTGAGAGGAGGGCATCAGAACCTGAGTCAGCGCCTCCCAGATAAGGCAGGAGAAAACTAGACGATGAACAAAAAAAAGTTTGAGAAGGCGATATTGTTGTCTGACCACTATTAATACATTTGGTTCCAAGCCAGTGAACTCCAGCCTGACAAACTAGTGCTGCTCTCCGTACCTTTTTCCAACCACTCAATTCTAACAGTCTTATTTGGAACAAAAGTAAAACGGAGCCAAAGTTACCCATGTGTAGCAACTTGCCAATGAAAGACATTACTCATCCCACACCCAGAAACATAGAAATTTTCAGCACAGAAAAAAGTCCTTTCAGCCCATTTGGGCCGTACCACTGCTAAATTATTTTATAAGTCCCCTTTTTTGCAAAAAACAGTGCGTTCGATTATTTTTCTAATTTTGCCAACAACATGTACAGTACAGTCACTTTGCAATATATCCTGTGAAGCACTTTGATACGTCACAACGATGTGATAAGGTACAATATCAAATGCAAGGGTTATCTTTGAGCTCCTGGTCTGTAAACTACAGCTCTAACCATTACATCAAGGGGCTGCCCCAAGAAATTGTATTAATCCGAATTTCATCCCAGGTCTCTCTTCGTATCTCTTCATGAGTTTACTGCTCAGGTGCTTGTCCAGCTCTCACTCTCTTGCTCGCGCTCTCTCTCTCTCTCTCTCTGAACATCTGGCCAACTCTTTTTTTAGGTCCTGGCATTTGAGGTGTTGTCAGTAACATAGCCCCTGATTGCCGGGACACCAAAGCTGTTTCATCAGCTGCTCTATTTCCCCAGGCAGCTCCTGTCCACATGGTGTGGTTTAGAGCATGGCATTCTGTAACCCCCATCTGCAGCAGCAACGGGATCCTGATCGAATACCCAAGGAGCTACATTAAGCTATGTGTTGCTCAGTGGTGAGACCTGGGACCTTCTGAAAGAAATGAAGAGTCCTGGGGAATGATCAAACCAATGTGACAAACACAACACTCAGCATTTTCACAAGTCAGACACTTCCAGGTTAACTTTCTACACTATGTCAAATCCAGTTATAGGTCCATCTCTCAATTGTGTAGCTTGATACTTAAGTCTTTGGACAGAAAGTGGCTTTTTTCTCGCTTAAGGATTTAGATTTGCTTATTGGTTCTACCTTCAGTTGGGAAGTCAGTGTGAAGTGCAACTGTATTGAATTCAATTATACTGCAAGGTCCTCTGAGATGTACCTTCGCTTTTTTAATTGAGATTTTATGCTTGAGGTATAACTCATGCTGGCACATTGTAATGTAATTGGAAAATAGGCCAGAGAGACACTAACATCCAGAAAAAAAAGTTAATAAAATGTCAGAAAACAATACAAAATAGAGGCCACATCCTGTTCAGGACAGCATGAATGGCAGTCACCACTCGATGGATACATGATGAACCAGCAGGGCTGTAATTGACATGGGTGAAGGAGCCCTATGGATATCTGCTGAAGAATGGGATTAATGGCCATACGTTTTGTCAGAGATTGCTATGTCTCTAAAGCAGCCGAAGGCATCCTGAACTGTGGGGAACAAGTCATCAGCTTCTGCCAAAAACTAATAACCAGAGCTGAATAATGGAGATTTTAACCTTAAATCAATATGTTGTAGTTTCACTCAATTGTCAAGGAGACACAAGGAGGAATTGTATTTAGATTTATCTTCTTAGAAGTTTCAATTGTGGTTTAATTACCTAGTTCTGGTTGATTAAATGAATTGGTGTTGTCCTTGAATGTGGAAATTCCACATGAACGACTGGAATAGGTGCTTTGAGAGGCTGGGTGACCTTTAATGATTCAGTTTTTATAATGATATACCAATGTATCTCCATTCCACGCTCAACCCTGCATGGCAAAGGGTTGCTGGAGCTTCTCTTTAATTGTTTGGACCCTCTACCTTCCAAAATCAACCAATTGATTTCCAATTTAACCCTGCTGTGTTAAAGTGGGTGAAATAGAGAGACCAGGAGCAGGAACCCTGGCTGTTTATTGTCCTGCAAGAATAACAAACTGTTGTTCATTTATGAAAGAGCCAGGATCTATTAGAGCTGGAAGGTAACACGAGGGAAGGGGAATCTAGAGACAAAATCTCTGCTCTTAGTAATTTTCCAAAGCAAGATAGAAACACACCTATTTATAGTAGATCACCCATACCGAGAATTCTCTTACCTCTTGGTATGCTAAGACTCATCAACCCAGTTGCAACAACAACAATAACAACTTCCATTTATATAATGCCCTTCACATGGGGTAATGTCCTGAAATGTTTAACAGTGGCGGAACTTGATGTTGAGCTGAAGTTTTGGAGTTCGATTACATCTCTTAAGATCAATAGGGATAATTTGCCCCTGCCTCTTCTCCACGACCCCAAAAAGTGCTGTCTACACTGGTTACTCACTGGTCTTGTGCTTCCCAATAGTAATATAATAATCCTCGCATTTGATATAGCGCCTTAGCACAGCAGGAGGACTTCTCAAAGTGCCTTCGTCAGATTTACTGTAAAGTACAGTGACTGTATTTTGTAGGCAAAAGCGACAGCCAATTTGTGGACAGCAATGTACCACAAAACAGCCATTAAGTGAATGATCAATTCTATCTGGGGATTATTGGCAGGAACCCAGGAGAAACTCCTTTCTCTTTTGGAATAATCTTTAACGTCCACCTGAACGGGCATAGACGGGACCTCGGTTTAATATCTCATCCGAAGCACGGCACCTCTGATAATACAGCACAGCATCAGCCTAGAATGTCAGCCTATGAGCTTAATTTATGTGAGTGCAAAGACCAGACATGGGGCTTGAACCACAACCTTCTAACTCAGAGACAGACTGATATCCAGTGCTTAGCATTGTTCTGATATACATAGAAGAGAACGTACTCCCATTGGATCTTCCTTTCCCCTTTAGGTACAAAATATATCTGCCTCCAATAATGACAACAAAGCTGGATAACAATGTCTTGTAGTTCGATACACATACAAACACACACACTTTAGATAAATATGCTAAGATCAGAAAAGCTATCAAAGCTAGGAGGATTTATAGACACAGGAAGTAACAGTTTAATTGGCTTCAAGCTAAGTTTAGAACTCAATAAATGTCCAATATTCAACTATGATAATTCATCACTGGCATTCACCTTGATAGTTTGAAGCCAGACTAAACGCTTTCATCATTGGAAGTGACCTTAGCAATTAACTGCTGTTAAAATGATTTGTTCGCAGGAGGAACCGTATGTCATGTTTAAGAAGTCCGACAAGCCTCTGTCTGGTAATGACCGATTTGAAGGGTTCTGCATTGATTTGCTCAAGGAACTCGCCAACATCCTAGGATTTTCCTATGAGATTCGACTGATACAGGATGGAAAATATGGGACTCAGGACGAGAAGGGACAGTGGAATGGAATGGTCAAAGAACTCATTGATCACGTGAGTAATGATAGTGTTTGCTTCATGCCCACCGCCCCCTGCAACAGGCGAGTCATCAGCCTTAATAATAGTCCTTGCATTTGATATAATGCCTAACATATCAGGATGATGTATAGCATAGTGACTGTGTAATGTGTAGGTGAGCGCAGCAGTCAATTGGCTCACAGCAACGTTTCCACAAACAGCCGCGAATACCCAATTTTTTTGAGGGATTGTTGGCCAGAAATAAAAATTGAGGGCACATTTCCGTTCAGAATTATTCACGCGGTGCAGCAAGTGACTGCGCAGAGTTTTAGCAGGCCCAAGGATAACTGGAACTAGAGCGGAGGACAGTGACGATAAGTCTTGCCTTTGACTAGTATTCAGGCATTATTCAAGTATGTGTTGCCAGTTCCGAGCAACACCATTAGATGGAGCAATGTAACATTGATGCGCTGCATTTTCAGCAGAGAGGCGAGTGAGAAATGAACACAACATAGAGCAGTAGCACCAGATCGTGGAGCTATACAGCTGGTACACACCTCCCAACGTTTCACGTGGCTAAAGTGGGCCACAACCAAAAAAAACTTAGCTGTGAACGCAGGAAACGGCCAGGCTGTGTGCTCGCAGCTTCCCTGCTCCAATTCAGTTGGGGGCTGTTGGGAAGTGTATGCTGGTAGCTTTTTCATATTGAATCAGTTTGATCTAATCTTTGGCTCAGTTGCTAGCGCTCTCACCTCGGAGTCAGGAGGTTGTGGGTTCAAGCCTCACTTTTGGCCTCTGAGCTTACAGTGCAGGCTGGGTAGTGCTGAGGGATGTTAAAGATCTCACGGCATTATTTCGAAACGAGAAGGCAGTGTCCTGGCCAACAATCCCGAAAATAAAATTGGTCGTTCACTCGACGGCTATTTGTGGGATGTTGCTGCATGCAAATTGGCCGCCGTGTTCACCCACAAAATACACAGTCGCTACACTTTTCAGTAAGCACTTTGAGACGTCCCCCTGAAGTGAAAGGATAGCAAACTGCAAGGATTTATTACATTGAGCAGATGGCAAAGGCGTCTTACGTTTGTGTTCAGCTTTCTTTTGATGTGCTTATAGATTCAAATGCAAAATACATTTTGTGGTGAGCCAAAAATCCTCAGATTTGTATGCAATTAGTCAGTACTCAAGGCAACAGTTTTGATATATGTATATATACACACACACAAGTGCACGCACAGAAGAGCGTACACAATAGTCAAGCAGGAAGCTTGCTTTGAGGTTTCCAAGGCAATACTGGAGTTTCTCCCTGTGAAACCATGGCTGACAAGCCATCTATTATTGGAGCAGGCTGTTTGCTGCTCAGTGTGTCTCTCTAATGGGCCACCAGCAATATAAAGGCTAACCAAGTAAATTGTTCGCTGGGAAAGAAATTAGGGCACGAGGTTGGCTGTGGGATGCTGAGAGAAATGATTGCTTTGGTATCAGGCACGTGTCTGTCAGCTTTATATGTATATGTAACGGAGAGAGAGATTTTCCTCCTCAAACAGCTTCTCTTAATATTAAGGTCGTCACCCACATTCCCTTCACATCCAGCAGCTCCCCATATTGTCGATCCTCTTGTACCCAACTCTTTTGTCCACCCCCTCTGCTCAGCTGCACATCTCCTGCTCCCTCCGCATCACCATCGGTTGCCCAGTATTCAGTCTCTACACCCTTAACCTCAGGATCTCCCTGCCTCTACCCCTTCATCTCCATTGCGGAGTACTGTAGTGTATTGGTTAGAGCACTCGCCTTGCAAGCGAGAGGACCTGGGTTCGATTCCTGAGCAGGGTGAAATGTTTGGGCAAGTTTCTTTACTCCACACACCTCTGTTTACCCTTCAGTAAGTAGGAGCCGGTTGTTAGTCAATTCGACGGATCGCTTTTCTGGGGGTAATAATCCCTTAAGAAAAATAATAAAAAAGAATTTGGTCACTCAAACCACGACTGTTTGTGGGTTACCCCTGTGCACAATTTGCTGCTGCATTTGTTCGACAAAATATACAGTCAATTCACTTTACAGTGTCTTCTGTGAAGCACTTTGAGATATCTAGAAGGCGTTATATCAAATGCAAGGGTTATTATTAGTTTAATTATTATCTCGCCCCTTCTCTATCAGTCTCTTCCTCTCTGTCACAGCCCCTCTCCACCTATCATTAATCTCACCTTCTAACCTTCTTTCTGAAAGGTGCTAATAATCACCTCCTCAAACTCCCTAGCTCGGCAAAGGTTAACCCATCCCTCCGAGGTGCTCTAAGACATAATAATGCATTATGAAGGGCACTTGATAAAGGCTAGTTTTCAGAATGTACCTCTTTGCACTTCTCTTTCCATATTAGACTTGGTCAAGGATTTGGGCAGATGACCTGCTCTTGCCGTGGTCTATCACACCGCCACCTTCTGAAGGTGCCGAGCCTTCTGCTTGCACACCAAAACCTGGAGTCTCAAGCTCTGTACATCATGCTACACAGCCCCATTTTCAACTTGATTTAAAACGTCCAAACTCCGATTCAGCCGAAGCAAGCCTCCGCTCGTAAACATAACAAAAAAGAGTGAGATAAACTGGAACAAATGGACCAGCGACACATTGAGTATTTGTATTCAGTAGAGCAGAGACACGACAGGGGAAGCCCATTGCCCTGCACCATCCCAGTCCATCTGTTCTAGTAAATGGATTAGACAGGGTTCCCTTGTGAAGTCCTGCAATTAGAATGTTATGGCTATTGCACTCATTATAAGGAACAAACAGGGAGAGAGATCAACATGGAGAGGAATAGTCCCCTTCTTCCAATTCTTCTCTTCCGCTTCTCTCCATTCCCCATTGCTCCAGAAACATCTCGACTTTTCCATCCCTCACCCCCTTCTAACCCACAGCCTACCAGCCACAATCCGGAATCTCGTTCATGTGGACTTTATTCATGTGTGAGCCTTGATGCTGAGTACCGGCTGGCTGGTTGACAATGAGGGAACCTCTCTGGTGAACACCCACACTTCCGGGAGGGGTTGGGGTGTCTTGGAAATCAATCACGAGCAGGAACCTGATCGATTTCAGCCGCCCCAAACCGGAGAAACTGAAACTAACTGCTGCCTCAACTGAGATCCACTAGCTAAAGACGACACTTCTAGTTACGTAGTGCTTTTCATGCCGGGAGAAAATATCTTAAAGTGTTTCACACAAATTCAAGGCAGGATGTGCGTGCACCTGCAACCTTTCATCTGTATGCTCCAGGAAACTCACTGGATCACCAAAGTGGACTCTCAATTATGAATGAATCAAGTTAAATGCTTATCATTCCCTATGCTTACCGACTGAGCTCAGGATAAGAGCACCTAAGGACATGCCTTGGGCAAAAAACTCTACTATTTTTTTGAAAAAACAAATGCCCTCCTTAATAAAGTTGCTGCAACAAACTCAATGCAAGTTCTCAAACCAATTTAATAAAACAGTTCCGTAACTATCAAAACTGACATAATTACTTTCTTGCTATTATGCCATAACGGGTTCAGTATATTTGATAGCTCATGCAGTCGTTTTAATGATAAAATGTGGACAATTCAATTAATTTCCTTGTCCTTTCAAACGTATCTTCTCCCCCAAAAGACACTTTGAATGAGTTCATTAAAAACAGTTTCAGCTCTTGTATCGTGCAGAGACTCTAATGGCCGTTTGGTGCTTGATCAATTTCTCAATAATATGTCACCAGCCGGGTTTAAATAAATCATTCTCCGCAATGCCTGTAATTTGCTAAAAGGAAACCACGTTCGCTGCAGAAGGTAAATATAAATAGCACTCTCAAATTAGTCAGAGCACTCTTAGTAAATGTGCTGTAACAAGCGTAATCAATTTGTCATTAAAAGTTTAATCAGTTTGGTTAACAAACTTAATTTTGCTGTAATGAAGTTAATCAGCTTGGCCCACACTTGTAAGAGCAGGCTGAGTAAATTAACAGCAGGGCTGCGAAGAAATGTGTTGCTTCTCGTGACATGTGAAGCCAACTCACTGCAGTATCAGCCTGGTAAAGGGCTCAGGAAATCCAGGAAACCGAAAGCAATGTGGCTCAGTCGGTAGCAGTCATTTCTGAGTTAGAAGGTTGGAGGATTCTAAGCCGCACTTTGTGGTGGATCACTGGGTTGTGGGAGGTGCTGTTTTTTTTAAATGAGATGTTAAATCGAGCTGCCTGTTCAGGAGAACGTTTAAAGACCCTCAATTTAAAAAAAAAGCAACTGAGTTCACTGCAAAAGGCAAATGGAAATTGCAGGTTCAAGTCAGTCACCACACTCTTAGTAAACGTTAAACATCGGTAAAGATTACAGTGGCATCTTTAACGGTCACTAAGAGAAGATTGAAGGAAACTTTTAACAGTGCAAATGATCCGAGGATAGCAAAAAAATATTACTTCCTCAATGTTGAAGCAGGTAAGGGCATCACTCAATGTAGTGCTTGCCCATTGGTACCCAGAAGGTTGCTGCTTCCAATCCGGGTCTATGTTGAGTTCGCTGATAATTGCTGGGCCAGTGCTTCAGTGCAGTTGGTTTCACATTTGGTTTAAAGGACAGTAAAATCAGGCGGGGATGATGATTTTATCATTATCTTGAGGACCTTGCTGGGATGCATGTGGACCTTAGGTGAGAGAGAGACAGTGGGCTTAAGTGTGCTGCAATCCCACCCCCCTCCCCCCCTCCCTCCCACCCCCACCACACACACACCGTACCCCTCCCAGGAGTTTGTGTAACTGGACTGCAGGAGAAGGAAGGCTGGAATCAAGCGAAAGGTTGGAAAGGAAATTTGAAGTGAAAAATTGTCAGAGAGGAAAGTGCGATACTTTATATATAGTTTGGTGGAAATCATTCTGTTTCTTATCTTTCACTGATAAAATCCACCTTTGCTTTTTTTCTAAATTCACTTCTTTTGGTTTTTAATCAATGTTTTCAAGATACAATACAGCTAAAAAAAAAAGGAAAATGGCCGGCCAACTTCCAGGTCGCCAGGTCGCAGTG